GCTGGGCGGCCGGGCGGGCAGGTCCTCCCCGGGCAGGCGGCGTGAGGCTGAGGAGGAGCTCGTCCACCTGGAGTCCGTCAGATCCCAGCTCCCACCCGAGTCTCCTCTGGGTTCTGACGCGTCCCTCTCCTGCCCTCACACCAGCAGCAGCGCACGCAGTTCTAACGATGCAAACTGAACAGCCCACTCAGGAAGCGCCTCACAGGACCATCTCCAACACAAGCCAAGTCCCGCCTTTATTTACAATCGGTGACAGGCCTCACACTTACCTCTCGTCCACCACACACTTCACGCTGACGAGCAATGTTAATAGCACCATTCGTATAGTATTAAAATCAGGAAGATTTCGTTCTGCCGCTACGTGATTGGAGCCTACCTCCCCCGCGGTGAGATAGGGAGCGTCGGGTCTGCAGTGCCACGGCGGGACCCCGTCCGGCACCAGGGGCGTGGCTCGCAGTGACCAGTTTGGAAAGGGGTCCATGGGGAGTGGGTACTATGAGAATTTCCGTGCCACAAAGTTTAACAATCCTCCGTGTTGGTACAAGGTGATTTCCACGTCGTTTTCAAACGAAGCGATCACGCGGAATGCTTTTCCAGTGCTTGTCTGCAAACAAACAGAAACGTCGCATGAGTGTCCCTGAGTGGCCACAACCGCTGTCCTACGCAAGGACTGCTCCCCCACACTTCCGTCCACCCCGGGCCTCGCAGCTGAGGAGACCTCGTCATCCCTGATTCTGAAGGGTCACATGATCTCACCTAGACCGTGAACCCCGTCCCGTGGATTCTGACCTGCTGACCAGGAAAGCTGCACCCGCTACTCACGTCCATTTACATCAAACATCATCGCCCAGAACACCTGTCCCCCTTTTCTTTTCCTTAAAGCCTGTGGCCCTAACCTGACGGTCAGCTCTGCCTTCCTGCGGAGCGGCTCCTCGGCCGATGAACGTGAGGTCGGGACAGAGCTGAGCGCGGGAAAGGCGGCCGGCATGTGCCCTGCTGCCCGCCTTCCCTCAGAGACCTTGCCCCCTGCAAGGCCACACGCCCACCTGCCCGGCTCACGGTCCCACCCGACGCCAGAGCAAGCCCCAGTGACCGCGGGGCCTCACGCGCAGCGTCTCCCTGCACACAGGGCGCAGGCCGTACGTCCGGGCTGAGGGATACCTTCATGGTGAGCGTGACACCGGGAGACAGCTCTTCAGGAAAGGCCAGGGAGAAGGTCTCCCTGCCGGTCAGGCCCAGGGTCTCGGCGCTCTCCCCGGGGAGGAACTGCAGGGGGGCGATGCCGATGCCGACCAGGTGGTCCTTGTGGATTTTCTCGTAACTCTCCGCCAGCACAGCTCTCACGCCCTGCAACACACGCGCGCTTACTTCCTTCCCTGCCTCTGAGCCTCTGAAAGTTCCTTCACCGCACATTTTAAAGGAGAAAACATCCCGCTTTTGGCCTTTCTGTAAAACCGTCCAGCTCCCCGTCCACACTAAGGGCGATGCATCCGAGCATCAGAGCCTTTCACAGGCGGGTCTGTGCCCCTGCCCCTCCCGGGCGCGGGCCTGCACACAGCACGCGCTCTGTGACGGGCGCAGGGGGGCCTGGGCCCAGGGGCTTCTGTCTGTCTGTCCCTGGAGGATCTCACATGTGCTTGCACTCCCTCCGGAGATGCCACTACGATCAGGGAACAGAAGGGAGCAGCGGAGTGAACTCTATGCCATGCAGGGGAGGACACAGGTAATGGCCTGAGCAGACAACGCTGAGAGCAGTGATAAACCACGAAGACAGGGGGGCCAGGAAGGCCCGATCCACCCACAGACAAGGCACGGGCACAGGCGGGGGCTCGGGCTGGGGCTCCGGCCCGGTGCTGTCCGAGTGGAGCAGCAGGAAGCTGTGCGGCCAGTCCTGCTCCCGACGGGAAAGGGTTCTCTCTGGAGAAAGCGGGCGGAGCAGCTCCAGACCTGGCTTCTCCGCTTTTACAATCACTGTCCCTCAGGGGCCTTTTTACACCTCCCCCATCACACCTTCCGCACCGTCACCCCCAGGAGTTTAGTGCATCTGTCTGTGTGCAGACCTGGGCCTGCACCGGTTTAACCCTGAGAACGGGTTTGCACCCCCTGGAGGGCACCACCCTGTCCGTGGGTCTGAGACGAGGACCCGGCCCAGGGCAGGCGGGAGGCCCCTCTGGAGTAAGGGCGATGCTGAGCCGTGTCCCGAAGGGTCTCCATTCCTGAAGACACTCAACGGCTCAGAGAAACACGTAGCTTTTGCCACCCCCATCGTCACCCTGAGCAAGGCCCACGCTGCTGGAGCCCAGCCCAGCCGTGCCGTCTGCGTGTTAGTGTCCAACTGAACTGACAGTCAGGACCGCCTGCGACAGGAGGAAGGCCCAGAACGTAATCAAAGACTAAGACAATTTCAGAAGAAAGGCAGGCTGCACCGATCATTAGTATTCACAGTCCTTGTAAAACCTCAGAAAGAGAAGCTGCATGCGCCCCCAGCCCCAGGCTGTGTCCATTCAGGGCGTTAGGACTGAGAAGACCGGAGCCTCACGCACACGAGGGCGAGAGGGGAGTGACCAGCCTCCCACCACACCTGCAGGGACCCGCTCGCGCCTGACGTCTGAGCTGGCGGGGGACACGAGTCACGCAAGCCATGGGACTGTGCCCGTCCTCCGCTGCTGCCCCCCGAGGAGCAGCCTCCGGAGACGGAGCCCCGGGCACCGTCGGCGCCCCGTGGGGAAACAGTAAAACTGGGCCCACAGCTCCGAGTGTTCACCTCCAGGGAGCAAATCCGAGAAGATGAAGTGAAAAGGGAGCCCGGCACATACCGCTGGTGGGGACACGTCATTACCGATTTCCTCAAATGAGAAAAGGCGATGTAGGCTCGGGTTCAGGATATCAACGCAACCAGCTTACAGAAGAGCACTTCAAAACCCCACACATATAAGATCAGGACAAGCCAGAAAATCCAAACATGTAAGAGAAACCCTGACAGGACGTTGCGGGTAAACAGTGAAACCTGAGGCTTAAGGGGTAAAATTTAAGACTCGGTACCAGCAGATACGGCCCCTTGGCCGCCCAGTCCCTGGAGCTCCCGGAGCCGTACTTCTTTCCCGCTAAGATGATCAGTGGGATGCCTTCCTTCTGGTACAGCTCTGCGGCCTCAAACACATCCAGCTGCGGGAGAAAACAAACAAAGACCCTTCACACGAGGCCTGATTCCGTCAGCACTGGTCTCAATGCTTCGCACACATCCTCACCGTCTGTCCCGACGGGAAATGAATCGTTTTGGGAGCCGGTTTTCCAATAAACTTATTCAAAAGCTTGATGTTTGCAAAAGTGCCTCTTGTCATCACAGCATCGTTGCCTCTCCGGGCTCCGTAGGAGTTGAATTCTCGAGGGGTAAGGCTGCAAGAAAGCCATGCATCGGAAAACTTACTCGAAAGCACTTTATTACAGAAAATTTCCAGCATCTATGAAAGCAGGGAAAAGGGAACAGCGAATGCCCACGGAACTTGGCGTATCTGAACTGTACACATTCCAGGTCCTTTCTCTAGGAGATATGGACCCTTAAAAAGATCAATAACAAAATAGAAAATAAGAAGACAACAAAAGCAGCCACGATTCCTTACTATCGTGAAGCCAGTTAACACTCTGTGGCCCCTGACTGTCTCCAGGCCTTTCTGATGGTTTGTTCAAATCAGGGTCCGCATTTGGCTCATAAATTCATCCCGTTCATCGCGCTCCCTTAACGTCTCTCTGTCCCCTGTACTTCAGGGCAGGTTTCCTGCATCCAGGCTGTGCCGACCGCCTCTCTATGCTGTCATCTCACACGTCTCCGCCCGTATCCTCATACCCGACGTGGGAGCCCGTGGCGGGATCAGACCGGTCTTGCCCCGGCTGGTGTGGCTCAGGGGGCTGGAGTGGTGCCCCACACGCAGAGAGGTGGCGGGTTCGATTCGAGGTCAGGGCACAGACCCAGGCCTCGGGTTCGATCTCCGGCCAGGCGTATACGCATGGCAACCAACCAATGTTTCTCTCTCCCACCAACGTTTCTCCCTTCCTCTCTCTAGAATCAATGAAAAACTTACCCTCGAGTGAGGATTAAAAACACACCTGACTTTTGATTTGATACAAGCCCAGCCCAGCCTCAGGAACAGGCACTCGCTCTACAGCCCACCCAGCACACGGACAGTCTGCGCTCCCACGCAGGAGGTGGCCAGAGCCAACCACCAGCCTTCATGTGGGAGGGCAGACCAAGCTCCACCCACTGAGCCACACCGGCCAGGGCCACGCTGACCTTCCAACAAAGTAGCACCGGGGAAAAATCTCATTTCCGATCGGTTTCTCATGTATTTAAATCCATTTCCACCTCTAAAGCTCTCAGCAAAGGCAGGTGCGAGAGGCCCGTTACGGCGTGCCCACGCGGCACCCACCCTCTGTTCGTCAGGTACTTGGCGGCGGCACTGCTGCGGGAGATGCTCCCCGCGGGGGAGATGTGGTCGGTGGTGACGGCGTCCCCCAGGTGCAGCAGGACGTGTGCGTTCTCGATGGGCTGCGGGGCGGCCGGCTCTTTGGTCTGAAGGTGAAGGAAGGGGAAGGCGCTGAACTCCATGGGTGTTCCTTCACCACCACCCCTCAGAGAGGAAAAATACAACCGTACTTACCAGCTTGTCGAAAAACGAGGGACACCTGATGTACGTGGACTTGGAGTCCCACGGAAACAAGACGGAATCTGGTGCGTCCAGGGAATTCCAGCGCTTGTCGCCCGTCTGTGGAAGGAGACGCGGAGTCAGAACGAGAGGCGTACGGAAATGGTCTCGGGGATAAAGTAGCACTCAGGTTAGGATAATAAGAAAGGTCTGATCATTTCCTAAGAAAGGCGACACAGCGCATTCTAAACCATCATGGCGCCCTGGCCAGTGTGGCTCAGTGGACAGAGCATCGGCCTGCGGACTGAAGGGTCCCGAGTTTGATTCCAGTCAGGGCACATGCCCAGGTTGTGGACTCAATCCCCAGTGTGGGGTGTGTGCGAGGCAGCCGATCCATGATTCTCTCTTATCATTGATGTTTCTATCTCCTTCTCCCTTCCTCTCTGAAATCAATAAAAATATATTAAAAAATAAATAAACCATCATGGCATTCCTTGGAGGAATCATCTCAGCACGCCAAATTCTCAGGAACACCTCCAGAGTTAATTTTATTATAAACTGAATATAAAAGGCTATAGAATCCACCCTGACCAGGTGGCTCAGTTGGTTGGAGCGTCAGCCCGTGCACCAACAGGTTGCAGGTTCAATCCCCAGTCAAGGCACCTACCTAGGTTTCGGTCCCGTGCCCAGTTGGGGTGAGAAAGGGAGGCAACTGATTGTGTCTCTCTCTCCCCCCCTAAAAATCAATGAACATATCCACAGGTGATGATGAAAAGCCCACAAAAAACCAAAAACCTTAATGAATCCAGAAGAAGCTGGAGAATTTAGAAAGACCCGCACACGCTGCTGAAGAGTGAGTGTGCTGTGTATGCTATTTGTGTGTGTGTGTGTCTGAGTGTGCTGTGTACATGTGCTGTGTGTTGTGTGTGTGTGCTGTGTGTGTGTATGCTGTTTGTGTGCTGTGTGTGTGCTGTATGTGTGTCTGTGTGTGCTGCGTACATGTGCTGTGTGCTGTGTGTGTGTCTGAGTGTGTTGTGTGTGTGCTGTTTGTGTGTGCTGTGTGTGTGTGGGGGGGAGGGGCAGGGTGCTGCTGCTCACCTTGAAGAACAGGACAGAAAAGCCTCTGCTTTGTGATCCGTCCCACCCCCGCCCCGTGTATCGTCCTCCCCAACCACATGCCCGTGTCCACTGCTCAGCACCGAGGGCCCTGCATGGCCCGTGCTGGACCACGACCGCCCCTGCTCCAGCCTCAGCGCCCCCCCAGCACGGCTCACACACAGAGTCGGCCCTCTGATGACACGCCCTTCACTCCATCAGAGCAACGACCACAGTTACAGCAGCTCCAACCAACTCCCCACAGGCCGGCCCCTCCCCGGCTGCCTCACTTCCTCCCGCCGCCCTCCCGTCCTATGGAGCCAGCAGGCCTCCTCGAGGTCCCCTCCTGAGGCCGGGGAAGCCTCACTCTTGGCCCAGGTATGTGACTGACCTGTTCGCCTCTAACCTTCGCTCAAGGCCGGGTTCTCAACCCTCCCACACAAAACTGCAGCTCACGCCCACATTTTGCACAACTGGTCCTCTGACCTGTATTTTTTATCTGTATTTTTCCATAGCGTGGATCCCTTTTTAATACACTGTGTAACTTACCTAATCGTTCTGTGCACCACTCACTGTCTATCCCTCCCCATGAGAATCCTGTTTTGTTCACAGACACATGCTAACCACAGAGTAGGTGCTCAATAAACATTTAAGTGAATAAATGCCTTTTCTGACTTGTATTTATATTGTTTTATGCTTGTATGTGCAAAAAAAAAAACCTCTGGAAGATGCTTAGGAATCTGATACCTCTAAGGAGAGTGAGTGGGAGATTTCATTGTTTGCACTCAATTCCTGCACCCTCCACACCGGGGATCGAGCAACCCGGCATGTGCCCGGGCCAGGAACCACCCAGTGACCTCCTGGCTCCTGGGCCGATGCTCAACCGCTGAGCCCCGCCAGCTGCTACACTTCTGTGAGCAATAACACAAACTCTAGTCCTCCCAGCTGTTCTCTTAGATATCAGAGTCCAGACTTAAAACGACCCTCACACATTCACACTGCGCATGCAAATCGCGTCACTGCAACACCTCTCCCCTTCATAGAACATGAGGAGTGACGCCAACACGGCCACGCGGTGAGCCACCAGGAAGCCCAGGAGCTCTGACCTCTATCTTCTCCTTCAGCGCCTTGAACACGGAGCACAGGACCTGCTCCTCCTCCACCTGCTGGACTTCCTCTCGGCTCGGCCAGATGTCCTGCAGGAAGATGTCCTTGCCGGCGGGGTCAGTGCCTGGTAGAAAATTAATATAAAATGTAACTCCCTCGAGACAGTTCCAAAGTCACACCAGAGAACCAAGTGCATTATCCACAACCAGTGCTCCGGCTTCAGCCGCTGGAAGAACGGATGACTTGCGCATTCTGTACTCTTCCTTTGATGCAGAAATTCATCACTATGCCTATGGGACAAGTCCCTGGAATAACCCACAGAACGAACGGTGTGAGCACATGAACACGGACGTACCGAGAGGCTCTGTCTGGAAGTCTATGTTCACGGTGCCGGCGATGGCGTACGCGACCACCAGGGGCGGAGAGGCAAGGTAAGTGGCACGGACACAGTCACAAAGACGGCCCTCGAAGTTTTTGTTTCCAGATAGAACTCCACAGGTAACCAGGTCACCCTGAAACACACACACAAATCTAGTCAGTTCAAGAGATGGTACGAATTTGGAGAATCATAAAGCAACCTCAAATATGACATTTCTTAGGGCAAGATAACCAAAAAGCATATTTCCAATTATGAAGCACAAATAAGCTAAAATAACTCCTTACATTTTAAAGAAATTATTTCGAGAATCAAAACACGATTCTAATTATTTTAGGACGGACGGTGTGAGGACTAGAGAAACAAGCACATCAGCGTACAGTTCCTGTAACTGAATGACCAAGCCCGGTGCAGGGGCCGCGTGCGGCCGCCTCGCCTCGCCGTTACCTGTTTCACTGCACTCAGGACGGCGTCCGACAGGGGCCCTGTGTTCCCCACGCACGTCGAGCAGCCATAGCCGACGACTTCAAATCTGCGGCAGAAAAGCATCAGGTTGGCCAGAGCAGCACACGTGTGCGCGTGAGGAAGGGCAGGCAGCTTCCTCTCCTCGCTGGAACCAGCTACCTGAGGAGTCGTGGGGCACAGACCAGCCATGCCCGTCCGTTCACCTCCCAGCCCTGGACCCAGGCTGCCCTCAGGCTGGCTGCCCACCGCGCCCACAGGCACCCTCGGAGAGGCACCCGGAGGGGCACACCCGGAGGAGCACACCCGGAGGGGCACACCCGGAGGAGCACACCCGGAGGGGCACACCCGGAGGAGCACACCCGGAGGGGCACACCCGGAGGAGCACACCCGGAGGGGCACACCCGGAGGAGCACACCCGGAGGGGCACACCCGGAGGAGCACACCCGGAGGGGCACACCCGGAGGAGCACACCCGGAGGGGCACACCCGGAGGAGCACACCCGGAGGGGCACACCCGGAGGAGCACACCCGGAGGGGCACACCCGGAGGAGCACACCCGGAGGGGCACACCCGGAGGAGCACACCCGGAGGGGCACACCCGGAGGAGCACACCCGGAGGGGCACACCCGGAGGAGCACACCCGGAGGGGCACACCCGGAGGAGCACACCCGGAGGGGCACACCCGGAGGAGCACACCCGGAGGGGCACACCCGGAGGAGCACACCCGGAGGGGCACACCCGGAGGAGCACACCCGGAGGGGCACACCCGGAGGAGCACACCCGGAGGGGCACACCCGGAGGAGCACACCCGGAGGGGCACACCCGGAGGAGCACACCCGGAGGGGCACACCCGGAGGAGCACACCCGGAGGGGCACACCCGGAGGAGCACACCCGGAGGGGCACACCCGGAGGAGCACACCCGGAGGGGCACACCCGGAGGAGCACACCCGGAGGGGCACACCCGGAGGAGCACACCCGGAGGGGCACACCCGGAGGAGCACACCCGGAGGGGCACACCCGGAGGAGCACACCCGGAGGGGCACACCCGGAGGAGCACACCCGGAGGGGCACACCCGGAGGAGCACACCCGGAGGGGCACACCCGGAGGAGCACACCCGGAGGGGCACACCCGGAGGAGCACACCCGGAGGGGCACACCCGGAGGAGCACACCCGGAGGGGCACACCCGGAGGAGCACACCCGGAGGGGCACACCCGGAGGAGCACACCCGGAGGGGCACACCCGGAGGAGCACCCTTGGAGGGGCACACCCGGAGGAGCCGGGGCTGAGGCTGCCCCAGGGGGATGAGATGAACTGTCTCTGACACTGCACAAGCAAGCCCTGAGACTCCTGCTGGGAACACAACGATTCAAAACCGTCCTGTACTTCCTTCCAAAGGGCTCACACGGTGAAGTATCAGAGGGCTGGCTGTCACCTGACGAAAGGCCCCGAGAGGCTCTGTGGCTGGGACCGACAGCAGTCAGTCCTTCCCCTCTCGACCAATTGAGCCAAGAAGAGTCCCTGACAAAAATATCAAGATGATATAACTAAAAACTTATACATAAAATCCACAAAGTTATTTTCAGATGCTCTTCTAAATTAAAAAAAAACAAAACACCATCCCACAAAAACATAAAATGTATCCGGCCTGCAAGGAATTGATGATTTATGTAAGATAATATGATTGAGCCTGGCTGGCGCGGCTCAGTGGTTGAGCATCGACCCAGGAACCAAGAGGTCATGGTTCCATTCTCAGTCAGGGCACACGCCTGGGTTGTGGGCTTCATTCCCAATGGGGGGCGTGCAGGAGGAACCGATCAATAATCCCCCTCATCACTGATATTCCTTTCTATCCCTCTCCCTTCCTCTCTGAAATCAATAAAAATACTTTTAAAAACAACTTACTCAGTTCATAATGCAACCTGCAGAACTGCATTCCTTTCTGAAAACTGACCTTCGGGCGCGAGAGGGCACGCACTGGCTGGCACCGTCCCTGCCTGTCACTGTCACCTGGTCTGACCTGCTTGTCTTCCCATCACATCTCCTCCTCTCGCCAGCACCCTGCCTGACGCGACTCTGCCCCCGTGCTGCTGAGGTGAGGCCTCAGGTGGCGCGTGGCCATGGCCAGGGGACTGGGAGGACTAAGCCTATTTCTCCTCCCTCCTCGCACAGGACAGGTCCCGGCGCGCAGCTCCGGCTCTGCTGAGCCCACGTCGACGCGGCCGAGAGGACGTGGCTTACCCGAGCGTGCGCAGGTAGGGCAGCACGCCGCTGGAGCTGAGGTAATGCGTGACCATCCCGCTGCCGGGCGCCAGGCTGGTCCGGATGTACGGCTGCACCCGCAGACCCGCCTCCACCGCCTTCTTCGCCAGGAGACCTGCCCGGGACAAACCAGGTGACCGTGGCGCTGGCGGCCCCACAGGAAAGTGGACAAGACAGGCCCCTTCACCAGCTGGGGCTCCAGTTCACAGGTGGGTGAAGGTCCACATTCATACGCTTATTTTATCATTTTTTCCACTGATTCGGTTCATTTGAAACCAACGCTGCAGTCGGCACAGCACCTCTGCACTGAGCGGAGGTGCAGCCCGAGGGCACAGCCTCACACCACACAGACTGAGCTGTTTCAGTCGCCACCATCACAATAAGCTGAGTCACTTAGTAACGTGACACGAGTTCCCACAGGAACCATGTGTCACGTACACACACTGATGGCGTGGCAGCCCGGCCAGTGTCGCCTCTCGCACGCTCAGTGGGCCCCGCACAGCCATGGCCGCTCCCAGACACCAGACTTGCTAGGCACAGTCCTCCTGGGTTAACAGAGGCAGATACGACCTAAACTAATAAATATGTGTTATAAAAAAATGTACCTCCTGTGTCATAAAAAGAACACTGATGACATAAGTCAACCTTAGGCCCGTAAAGACCTACCTAAAACCTCAGAACGCCCTCACCGTCCGACCTGTTCGACACAACCCTTACCCCCATCTGAGGGACTGAGTGACGGACAGAAAGACACAGTGACTGAGGACAAGACGACGACGGCCTGGAACCGCCACCTACCGGCCGCCAGCATGACGGACGGGTTGCAGTTGTTGGTGCAGCTGGTGACGGCGGCCACGACCACGGCCCCGTGCGACAGGCGGTAGTCGCTTCCTTCATAGTGAAGGGAGACGGCGTCGCTCTGCTTCTCGGCCGCAATCTGGAAGCCTCTGAAAGAGTGACGGAGGACAAGACGACGACGGCCTGGAACCGCCACCTACCGGCCGCCAGCATGACGGACGGGTTGCAGTTGTTGGTGCAGCTGGTGACGGCGGCCACGACCACGGCCCCGTGCGACAGGCGGTAGTCGCTTCCTTCATAGTGAAGGGAGACGGCGTCGCTCTGCTTCTCGGCCGCAATCTGGAAGCCTCTGAATCCAACCTGGAGAGAGTCCCACACAAACGTGAACTGCATGTTCTGGACACGCAGAGAAAACACGGCCCTAGCCAGGGTGGCTCAGTGGATAGAGCATCGGCGGGTGGAAGGAAGGGTCCCAGGTTCGATTCCCGGTCAAGGGCACATGCCCGGAACGCAGAGAAAACACGGCCCTAGCCAGGGTGGCTCAGTGGATAGAGCATCGGCCGGTGGAAGGAAGGGTCCCAGGTTCGATTCCCGGTCAGGGCACAGGCCCGGATTGCAGGCTCGATCCCCAGTGTGGGGCGTGCAGGAGGGAGCCGATCAGTGATTGTCTCTCATCATGGATGTTTCTCTCTCTCTCTCCCTCTACCTTCCGCTCTGAAATCAATAAAAACATATAAAGAAAAAAAAAGGAAAAAGAAAACACATGGGGGATGAACACTTGACGTCAGAAGCATGTGAGAGGAGCTGACGGCCGGCCGGGCAGCAGCCGTGACTCAGCTGGACCCTGCGCGAGCAGCCAGGAGGCGTCACTGTCCACAGTCCTCTCTGCTGCGAGCCCAGCCTCGCCGGGGCCGGCTCTCCCTCGGCTCTGGTTCTCAACCCTCCCTGCTCACAGCAGAGCTCAGGAGGCGGGACCAGCTTTTTGTTAAAATGGCCCCGAGGATTTGCTCCCAATGACTGTGTGCGTGGGCGTGTGTGTGCGTGTGCGAGTGCGTGTGCAGAATCTGCTGGAGCTGGCGACTGCTGGAGCAAGGCCCATGGGAACTCACAACAGTTTTACTCCTGTACAAGCCTGACATTTCCCACAAGAAAACCAACAAACGATAAAGATTTAAGTTTGGAAAGGAAGCGAGGGACCAGCCTTCAGAACAGAGGATGGGAAGCCACGAGTCTAGACAGGTGGTGTCTCCCTTGGTGTCTGGGAAGTCACAAGTCACAGAGTCTAGAGATCGCACAGAAACGTCTGTGACAGTGGGAACACGTCAGGGAGAGCCCAGCCACATGCAGTGTTCCACACGTGAAAGAGGGTGTTGTGACCAAGAAACCAACATTTTAACTGAGAACTTAAGGACCCCCGTGTGGACGACTGCCCGAGACCCGCCCGCTCTCCCCTGCGCCCACGTGCAGGGCGAGGCCCACCTTCTCACTCAGGCAAGCGCGGAAGTCGCTCTTCATCTCTGTCACAGCGACTCTGTCCTGCGGCCTCTTGGGACCACTGACAGTTGCCACTATGGAGTTCAGGTCGATCCGGATCACCTGGGACAGGAGAGAAGGGAAGGGGGGGAATTAGGGCTCATAGGGACGGATTCCAACTCAAGCACTACTTTCTAGGAAAGAATATGTATATTTATGTTGTTGTTTTTTTAAATATATTTTATTGATATTTTACAGAGAGGAAGGGAAAATAGAGACGCTCTATCCACTGAGCCAAACCGGTCAGGGCATATTTATGTTTTTTACGCAACTTGTTGTCATGGGGAAACACACCCACCAAAGATATTTAAAAACCCCATTTAACTTATGAAATATATGAAAATTTGCTAAAAGACTAGCAGATGCGTATGCAAACAACCGCACCAACACTGTACACTCTACATGAACTTTTAACCCCACTGTCCTCCCGCCCACAGGAACGCTGTCTCTACAGGCGCCTGGGCCAGCTGTGCACGCCCTGCCTCTGGGCTCGGACCCCTCTCTGCCTGTGTGTGAGGGTGAGGCGGGCTGAGTGAACCTTCCTTCCTTCTCAGCTTCACTGAAGTAAAACTCTATGTAAAGCTATGAGTGAGGTCCGAGCAGGGTCACAGAGAACACCTGTCAGTAACGATGATGACAGCTGTCAGCACTGAGCACTTACTAGCACCTGAGACCGTCCTGACGAATGTGTACTCATCTCGAGAACCCGGTGTGGTAGCACCACCTTCGCATTTAGAGACGCGGACACCGAGGCAGGAAGGCTACCTGCTTTGTCCAGGCCGCGCAGCTAACAAATCTGAGCTGGGACGGAAGCCCGGTGGCCAGGCTCCGCGCTGACCCGGCCCCAGGGGTGACCGCACGCACCTGGGAGTACTCCGGCTCCCCGGAATCACCCTGGTCACTCCGGAACAACTTCACAGCTTTCAGGTAGGTCTCCATTGACTTGAGTTTGGCTTTGTCAAAACCTGAAAGATAAACAACAGAAACCCAGTGAGGAATTCTGAAACCTTCTGGGGTGTGTTGAATTCCAATGATGAGCAAGAAACAAATATTGCAAATTACTAAGCACTCAGAACCGACGTCTTTGCGAATTAGCACTTGATAGCATTTCAAGAGCCTTTCTGATCAGCTCTGTCAGCTCCACAGCAGCCCCTCTCAAGGTGATCGATCACAGCAGGACCAGGAGCACTGAGCAGGGCGGGCACCTCACCGAGGGGACGGGGGACGGGGAA